CACATGAGAAGATATTAGCTCTGACATCACTGTTACTGTAAAGAAATATCATGAGACAAAACACTTATGCTGCTTCCTGGACCTTTCTCTTTTTTTCCCTTCTATTTTTTTTCCAAATTCCCTATAGAAGCAAGGCAAAATCCTTCAATATTTTTCCAAAAGAGCTAGCCTACTGACCCTAGCATCCTCAATTGCATGCAAGTTTGGCAATTATTCTATCAATCACTCATCATCCTTGTTTTCACTGCTAAATATGTTTACCCTCAGCTTGTCCAGGAAGTCTTCTGTTGCACTCCATTCCCATTATTTTTAAAGATGCACTTTTGCTGAAAAAGTTGCTTATTAAACACAGCACATTTGAAGAGAAAAGGGAAACAGTTTACAGGCCCTAGCATTAGGATAAAAGATTATCTTAAATAATTGTGTCAACCACAACAATCTTCTCAGTAAAGAGCCAGCAGTCCATTTTCAGGTCCTGAAAAATACAACTTTGTGAGTCCTAAAGCTCACTGGTACAAGCTAAAGAAAGCACCTTTGCTTTATTAACCAGTTCCTGATATATTTTGATCACATGGCTGAGAAAGTATTGAAGGAAAATAAAAGATTCCCTTTCCTATTTCTCTCTGAAAAGCACCATTTAATTTAGTAGACAGGAACTACTTTTTTTTTTAGTTTCTTTATGATATCTTTCATTGAAAAATAAAATTTGATGGGTTTGGGTTACTGTTGTTACAACAAACAGATCTGTGGGAGGTTTATATGGCTTCTTCTCATTTGAAATGTAAATTTAGCCCAGAGTTAGCAAGGGAATACATGAAAAAATGTATGAGACCTATTGGCATCCACCCAAAATTCACCAGTGGAAAATCTAGGTGTATAGTTCAGAACTGTCAACCAGTAAAGGATTTCAGATTAGTTAAAAATTGAATGAAAGAAGAAAAATATTTTGATCACAAAAGGTGTAGCAAATCTTCATTCTGGTGGATTCAACTGGAAATTTATTTTGAAGAATTTAAACAGCAAGTGCCTCAAGTTCAAATTACTTGGCATTGGGATAAAGGCTTTATTTTTATTTCAGCTTTGAAAAGAGCAAAGGGTATTTACATTCTTTAGAAGGCAAAGGGCAGTATAACTTTTTTACAGATGTTGAGATTCTTGTTCTTTATTTAAGTTGTATTTACATGAGTGCAGATTTGAAGAAACATCACAGATAGCCAGGTATTAGGACCTAAGTTATGGTAACACTTTTTTTTCAGAATTATTCTATCAGATATATTCCAAAATTAGAACCATTGCCATAGCCCTACTATAGAGGACTTGACAAGAAAAAGAATACCTTAGAGCCCCCTATGCTTTATTAGATTATCTTAACTTCAGTATACCTAAAAAATAAGATACATAGAATATATATCATACCTTTACCTCAATCAACTTTTTTCTCTTTGGAAAGGCATAGGAGGAATACCAATTGTATTAGTATGAAAGCAAACCAGTGGAAGATTCCATGTCATAACTATAATTTAATAGGAACATTAAAATAAATTTAATAGTATAAAATCACTGATAGGGTCACAATACAACCTGACGCCATGTTGGTCAGGGTGTTGGTATCAGTCCAATTAAATCATAGCTGCAGTCCTCTTGGAGTGATAGATGTGATTTTGTTGAAGCAGAAGAAGGTCTTCCTCTGAATGTCCAGTGGTGGTGTAGAAGCGTCTGGTCTTCCTCTGGGAATTCAGTGGATAAGGCCGCCTTTGGTGTTCCAAGCCTCAGATTATATCCAGATGCGAATGCTTGGTTCCTCCCCCTGAGCAGAACATCTCACAATGAGAAGATGTCATGTTATGAGTCCTGCAGTGAGACTTGATGGCCCATTAACAGAGACAGCTCTCTGGAGTAATGAGGGATGGGTCATGGAAGAGATAAAGAACACTGCCCCGCCTGGTTTTAACAGATGGTGATAGAATACATACTTTTGGTTACATCTTACACTGTAACCTAAGACGCCAATAAAAACTGTGTTAGTGTAGAAACAAAGAACAAAATTTTAAAGTCCTAGCAAGTAAAACTTCATAACAGTATTTTGCAATTATTTTTTATGATGCATTCAATTATTAGATCTTAATTCTTCTCTTGCCAAGCAAGAAACAAGATTACGAATCCAAATCTTCCCCATCACAACACATTTTAAATATTGTGCTGCTGGATTTCCCTCATACAACAAAAGCCAAAGGCGTAGAAGTATAGAAGTAAACCAGTAGTAAAGAAGCATAGAAGTAAACTAGAAGTAAACTAGATTTGACAAATGGAAAATGTAAATAGAGCAGTTAGTGGCTTAGAGGCAACATAATGCTTCTCTCTCCACTGTGTCACAGTAAAATACAATTGATGATGTTGAAAGGATTTCCAGGATTAGTGCAGGAATTATGTCTCAAAACATGATGTTTAAATATTTCATTCTAGATTATTTAAGTATAATTTTTCTACCAAGCTCAATCTTGTTAGAAAAGGGGGAATTCAGTAAAATTTGGCTGACAAGGAGAGGAAAAAAGGAGTAAAAATATTCAAGAATTCTCAATGCATCCCTTTTCTCCACAAGGCTAGCAAATAATAAAACTTCCATTTAACAACATATAAAAATTAAGAAATTAAGGTATGCGTATCGGTATCACTGCAAGATGAAGTACAAGACTTTTGAAGTGCTATTTTATAGAGCTCCCATCCCCTCCAAAGCACCATATTCTTAAAATCTCAAAAACCTTCTGTAATGAAGTATAAACTTCAAAACAGCAACAAAATGCCATTACCTTAGAAGTAGGTCAAGTTATTTTTCCATTCAATTCCATTCCACCTAATCTACATCAAAGTACTTCTAATTATTTTCTTTGTAATCAAGCAGGCAATAAATTAATTCCATTGATCAAGCTATAGAAAAGTAGTCCTTTGTGTTATGAATACCATCCCTTTATACAACTAAGTGCAAATTACATGAAAATGCTGCAATGTCCTCTATTAAAGTTTCTGAGAATTTATTTTAATAATAAATAGCTTCTCATTGCATATATTTCATATTAATATTAATAGAATAACAACATATTTTATACTGGCAATATATTTGAAGGTGTTTGATGTTGATTTTGCTATAGCTATAATGATTTTTGATACAAAACCCTTCAGTTACCCCATTCTTTTAATAAGATTTTGAATGCATAATGCTGGAAAATAGCATTGAAGATTTGAGAGGAAGTGTTAAGTGTGTATTGAACTATAGATGTTTTTCTTCAAAGCATGACATGCTCCAGCAACTATTCAGTGGTTTGGGGGGAGGGGGAACAAAACAACAAACAAACAAACAAACAAAAAACCATGCAAAAAAACCAACAAAACAACAAAGGCTCTGAGATGTGAAAAACATTTGTTCTTATTTTGAGTTTAGGTAGCTACATTGCTATTCATCAGAGCAAGAACCAAAATCAAGCACTGTGAAGCAAAAATACCTAACACGCCTTGTCCTGCAATTTGTCTAACCATATCAAGTATTAGTTCAGCAACTACTATTTTGTCAAACTAGCATGCCACCAAGGATTCAAACCTATTCCTAGAAGGTGCAACCTGGCTTTCAGGTCAGAAAAGGCAATGTGATCAAATTGGCATTGTGCTGCTCCTACCTCAGCAGCACTACAAAAAGGAAAGCATCAATCTGGAAAGCAGCCTGATACAAAGTACACTTTGAGCTCTGATACAAACACGCATTAAAAACAGTGAAGCAAAAGCTTTTCTTTCCACTCTGAAAATTTATTTCACAATGCTACTATTTTAGAACACAAGAAAGGTACTTAGGCATTGTTTTTCAATAACTAAATGGATTAGTAAAATCAAACATAATAAAGTACAAAATGTTGTAAAAGAGCAAAGAATGGTGTATTTTTTTGAAGTTTTTTGCTGGCTTTGCAACTTAAAATAGAAGCTCTCGCCACCATGATTTAGTCCTGGAGCAATGAGTAAGCACAGCCCAAACTCAGAAACTGAAAAAGGAAAGCCCTGACCTTCTGAAGCCTAAAACAATTCAATTCCTTGACTGTATGTAACCCAGAGGACCTAATCCTGTTTTGCATCTATTTTCTTAGCTCTTTTAGGCTTTCATTGTGTATTTTACTCTTTTACACATTTCTTTTTTGTGTTTTTATTTTTTTTTCTCTTCCTTTCCATATTTTCATCTCCATGTTATTTCTATATCTCTCTTCTAGCATAGTAAAATTATTAATATTTATGACTTGAACAGTCTAGTTAAGAAGTGTATCTTTGAGAAGAATATTCCTTCTGACAAAAAGCTGAGTCTGTGATTCTTTCCAATTGTCCATTTCTGAGCTAAGATAACATTGGGTATGTCACTCCTATAGGCTCCATCAAGACCCGTTTCTCCCTACTGTCATATTACTATTTCTGTTTGACTTCTTAAATTGTATAAGTTAGCAAGCTACTTAAGGAGTCCATTCCTCCCAAAGATAGCCTTATTAACACTAAAATTATTTTATTCACATCTTTATTTTTTCTGAAGTAACCTCTAGGCTGGGTTTTTCAAATCACTTGGAAGATGCCAGGGGAGCACAGAAGATAATTCCCCAGTCCTCTAATTTGTTGAGGTGTGTCTGCAGGGTCTCCCTGCCTTCAAGGAAGTCAACATTTCCTCCAATTTAGTACTGTCTGCAAACTTGCTTAGTATCCTTTCCAGTCCTGCAACCAGGTCATTAGTGGAGTTTCTGAAGAGCACAGAGCCAAGGATGGAGCCCTAAAAGAACTCCACTAGTAACAGGTAACCACTCTGGACCAGATGTCACCAACCTGTGAGCCAGTTGCTTACCCATCCCATGATGTGCTTAACCAGATGTAGGCTGGACATTTTTTTTCTGGAGGATACTGTGAGAGACAGTTTGGAAAGGTTTACTGAAATCCAAAAAAATTACATCATCCGGCTTGTGTTGACGAACTAGATGGATTACCTTGTCATAAAAGGAAATCAGGCTTGGCAAGCAGGACTCTCCTCTCAAGAAGCTGTGTTGACTGTGACCAATTCCTGTACCAAACAGGTCCTTCATATCCATTATTTGTCAGGTCATACTAAATTACAATAAGTTGTCGAAATTCACCTGTATTTAAAAACAAAACCTGATAGTTGATGTATACAGACAGAACTTGCCAAAGTGCTACAGTCTTGGAAGGACTGGTGTGTGCAAAAAAGAGGTTATTACTGACAAAACTTTGGTGGACAACTCATTTTTTTATCTGTATGGACATTGCTCCATATAGGAGTGAAGTAAATGTTACCTTGTAAAAAACAAAACAAAACAAAACAAAACAAAAAAAAAAACCCCAAAAAAACCCCAAAAAACCCAAAAACATCAAAATGAAAACAAAACAAAACCAAGCAGTTCTTGAGCAGGTAACTTTCCACAGGCAGTTTAAGGCATAAATAATTAATCTCCATCTTTTCGACAGTTTCCAGAAAATGAGAGACCTGAGAAGGGAAGAATCTTTACGTACCCTTTCCAACCACAATTAATATTTTCAAAATCTAAAGTGTCTTGCAAGTTGAAAACTACTTTATTAGAAGGTTGGCATCAGTGTGTAAAAATCAGGGCATATCAATAATTTTAGTAAAGCGAAAGGAAGTATATTAGCAGGCTCTCCTTATTATAGAATATCTTTTAAAAAAAATTATTTCAATTTTTATTGCTAATAAGAAGACAACTGATGCTAATTAAAACATAATTCTGTCATTGCTTTGCCCTCCAACCTACAAAACTGCCAAGAAAGTAACTAACAAGAATTGCAACTAACAACATTTACTGTAATTACAATTTAGAAGAGACTAGCAGATGTGATGAATGATGTCCTTTCTAAGCCAGTCTGTAAAAGATTTCTGTATGTGTCTAAAGGCAATGAGCTTCCTACAAATAGAGATATGTGTACATTTTTGTAAGATGTATAATTCTTCTTTTATTTGGAAGTACATTTACACTGTATGAAGGAGCAAAAAGGAAAGCCTGTATTTAAAATAGTAGAAATTTGTTCTCAAAACCATAAAAATTGGCTAGAAGATTTAGGATAAGAGTTACTACTGAAAACTAATTCTTACTTTAAAAAAAAATTACTGGATTTTAATTTGACCTCATGTCACACAAATTATCAATATAACTTCATGGAAATATTTTCCATTTATTTTCAGCCAAAGCTGAAAAATTTCTGCTAAAAACATTGTGAGGAGAATATATTTATGAAAGTAATGCCTTAATCAAATATACATTTCTTGCAGTTTTATGGCAATTGAAAATTAACAAAATTGCGAGCATATATATTATCCAACGTCTTGAGTCTCACACAAGATGAAATGTTCTGGAGTCTAACCTTTCTGAGGTACAAAATCAAAAAAATTCTTCCAGGTTAGTTTTTGTAGGTTGTTTCTTTTTATATATAATTTTATAAATATGTATCACTCTCCTAAATTCTTGGTTATTACCTAGTTTAACCATGTTGACTCCTCTTTTGAAGACATAGTTCCAGAAAAGAAATAGGAGATTCCTTGCCTTTTGCAGATGCAAACCTTAAGTGAATTTATTTGGCCCATATATTTGGGACAATGATGGCTGCCAATGCCAAGAAGAACTAGGTAGAAAAGTTAATCCACATGGTCTCAGCTAACCATCTCAACTTTTAAAATGTCATTTGAGGGGAGGCAGTGAAAAGCTCTGAAGAGAGACCACCATATCACAAAAGAAAACCAAAAAGACCTTATTTACCACTGAAAGGCATATGGCAAAAATACCTAGCTTCAAACCAAAAACAAGACAAAATGAAATAAATTTTGTTGCTGATGCTTCCAGGCTGCTGTAGAAGATCTAGCTTACCTTTGTCACCAAATGCAAGAGTAGTGCATATTTTCAATTTTGAGCTTAAACATGCCCCATTTGTATCTAATTAATTCTTCTCAGGAAGATTCTTCCAATTACTACTCCACAAATCCTGCTGGATTGAGCTCAAAACATATATACACTTACATACTCTTGTTTTGTGAAATCTATACATCCCTTTCTGTGGTAGCTAACAGCTGGCCTGAAGGCCTCACAATTATTTATAATCCAAATCTTACAACTGAAATATAACTAATTATGTAAGTGCCTTGATTATGTAACTAGACCAGTGTGGACTGTTGGAGAGCAGGTCTAGTCCACTGGGGACACGAGCAGCTATTGGCTGGTTGGCCGGGTGGCAACTGGTTTGGCCAATGGGAATAAATGCACAAACCTTCAAATCCATGCAAGGAAAAGATCATTCAATAAAAGTTGGCTGTTGTGCATGAACCTTGATGTGTTTTGTTGCATTCCTGTCTCCAACACCAGTGATACTTTTCTCCAGCCTTCAGTTTTAAGGCAACAGCAATCTGCATGATTGCAGGGGGACATGAAAAAATACTACCATGTTGGATTAATGTAGGATTCCCAGGGATATCTCTCAAACTTGTCCTCAACACAGAGTTTTATTTAACTATTATTAAATGCATATTTGCCATTTGGGACAAATGTTCAGTGTAACACAAAACTGACAAAAAACTTCTTGGACAAGTCTTAAAACTCTTAACAGATGCTACAAAATTACCACAGAATATGTTTAACAACAGTACTATTTGTAAATATTGTCTGTGATGGTACATTTGATGAATACAAGTGAACACTTTCTTTGACATGGAGAAAAACAGCAGTGGGCAAAGAACCATGAGTATAACTTCACACATTTCCTTTGCTACATGGTAATTCTTCTCCCCTGACTCCCCGCTATTTTTTTCTGTATGTTTGTTATCAAATTAACTGTCTTGAAAAGATGAAGAACCCTGAAAAGATTTTGTGAGTTTGGAAACATGAACCTAAAACTACAGCATGTGCCTTATGCTTTCTAGTGAGAGTGATATCACATTTTTAACAGCAATTGCTGCAGTATGACAATGTGTAGTTTTAAGAGCCAAGCTTATATGGAAGGAGTGTTTGTCTTTGGAGTTTTTCCCCTGTAATGTACATTTAATACATTAATAAATTTTATTTATTATATTTACCCTGCAGCATTCTGAAAGCTAAAATTTGATATCATTAAAATCAACTTGGCATTGATATTAGCAGATTCCTTTGAAGCAGATTTTTAGTAATCTCCATAATTCAGAGGATGGAATGACTTTTATAAATTATGTGAAAAATAGAAAAGTATTTTCCTGGGTGACAAAAAAAAAAAGTATTTTATTCCATTTTTTCTCTACATCAATCCACGCAGTTTGTTTTACTGTCCCTTTAAAACCTGGGAACCAAAATAGGAATTGGAGTTTTGACACCAAGTTTTCAGGGACATGGGGATTCTCAGGTTCTCTTTAAGAGACAGGGAACAGGCACACAGAGCCCTCTTCCATTCTCACTGAGCTGCCAAGAGAGTTAGCTGGGACAGGTTCTCTGGGCCAAGGCAGCATGAGGCAGAAGCCTTCTTTCATTTCTCTCTGAGGTCTGTGGGAAGTTGCCTGGCCAGATCTCCAAGAAACTGCAAATTTCACAATCCAAAACTATTTCAGAGATAGTTTTACAATACACAGCTGTACCACCAAGCTGGAGCTGTTGGGCCTGGGGCTATGGGTTTCAATGCCCAGTGAGTCTATTTTCTTTCTCCGGAACACAGCAGCAGTTCAGGACTGCAACACCAACATCAACTGGGTCCAGCTGGTCAAAAAGAAGCAGAGGAACTAACACCAAAGGGGAAGGTTGAGCTGAACAGGGCTTCTTCATCATCTTGTCTTTGCCCCATGGGCCACACAGTTGACTAAAGAGGTAGCCATACTGGGCAAGGGATTTGTTTGTGTTTGGGGTTAGGTTTCTTGAAGGAATTTTCTTCACATTTGTTGTCATGGAAATGGCAAACAGATGTTGATCTTAGCTGGGGGTGGAGCAGTCTTTACTGGTTTGCAGGGGAGATGGTTGTGGTGGCTGGTGCTGGACTTTTTCAGCCCAGGGGGTCTGGCACTGCTGTCAAGTTTTCTCCTGACTGCCTATTGGTGAGGCCACTGCTTACAGTAAACTGCCAGTGGACTAGGACTCACTCTGCAGCACCCATCCTCATCAGGAGAGACCTGCACCATCTGCGTGGGTATTTCCAAGGGAAAAAGACTGGGCCCCCAACTCCTCTCTCTTTCTGTCTGGAGAGACCACCTCCCAGCTGCTTGTAGACTAGAACCTCACTAGAGCCACCATTACCAGGTTACTGCACCAGACACCTGAAAACACAGGGAAACTGAACAGCCTCCAGCCCCTCTAGCTTCTCTCTCTTCCCTGGGCCATAAACCCCTTGGGAGGCTCAGGGCTTATATCCGAGCATCCCCTGTAAGCCCTAGGGGAGTCATTAGAGCCCCTCTGCCTCAACACGAGCCATCAGCACTCCATGCCAGTTGTGGTAGTAACTACACCAAAGGGCGGGAAAAGGCTCTTATTGAGTTTTCTTCTTTTTTGTGTTGTTGATGTTGCTGTTGTTGTTCCTGTTGTTATAAGTGTGTGTGTGTGTGTGTGTATTCTAGTAAAGAACTGCTGTCATTTATTTTCCCCTATCTTTGCCTGACAGCCCCATAATTTCAGAGTTATAAAAATTTGCAGGGAGGGGGTCAGGGGGTCATCTTCTCCATTCAAGGAAGATTCCTGCCTTTCTTGGCAGATCCCTCTCTTTTAAAGGACAATCCACCGTATTGTTTTGGTCCCACGGAGTCCACAGGATTCAGCACATTAATATCTAGTGCTTATTATTGTTATCTTAGTTGTTGTTGGTTTGGTTTTTTTTTTTAGTAAACAGTTATTTTTTCACTTACTTCTTCTTACATTCATTTCTCCTTATTGATGAAAGGGTTAAATTGGTGTAAATTATTTAAACTAAAGGGGAGGGAGCTTGCTTCCCAGGCTCCACCCTGTAAATTGTCTTAAACAAAGACAAGTACGCAATGAATTTTTTTTTACCAATATTTCATTCCAAATATTTTCAGAATTTAGTGAATAAATTTAGAAATTTAATGTGAGAAATTTAAGTCATTTGAACTTCACAAATTGGTTCCTTACCCCTCAAAGGGAAGTTGACA